ATTTCTTATTATTATCAATGTTGAAAACAGTTGTGTTTCTTAATTATGGAAACTGATATTTTTTCAGTATACTTTGTCCTTTGTAACATTTTGTAACGTGTCCATATAATATCTTTACGGTTTCTTTTGATCAAACTAATGCATCCTTGCTGAATAAAACTTTTGATCCCTTTCAAAAAATTGTATTGCTAAGCCCAAACTTTTAGATGATAGTGTATATATTTTTAAAAAATCACAAATTTTGTTAACCTGGTGCATATGTTGTACGAGTCTGCTACATTTGATATCAATTAAAATTTAGGATCATCAAGTGATGTTGTTTATTCTTCACAGAAACCCATGGGCAGCTCAATGGAAACCACCTTCCTTTGCACGAGCGGCCTCGTCCTGGACACGGCACTCTTGTGCGCTCTATTGAGAAGGATCTTCAGGACATTATGAATTCTCTGAATATGGATGAAGGCCAGACTTCCTCATCTCAGCAATGTAAAAAAGCCCGCCACCCCATTCCACAGTCTGCCATGCTCAACGGGAGCGGCCACAGTCTTGTCTCCCCTCCAACCAGTCCTGGTATTTTGTCCGTAAGCTCCAGCTATGAAAATACCAGTCCTCCTTTCTCCCCCCTCTCCACCCCTTCTGTGGTTAGCAGTCCAGGGGCTTGTTTGGACTCCACTAATACCCGTTCCACCAGCTACACCCACACCGTCCAGGCCCCGGTGCCACAGCCACGCACTTTTGCATCCAAAGCCAGCAGTTCCAACGGAGGGCTAAAGGATCAAGAAAGTTCCAGGCTTCAAAAAGCCTTGACTGAAACCCCCTCAAGCCCAGCGACAAACCGTAGAGGTGAGAGTCCACACCTGGCCCATGGTTCCTCTTCTGGGTCTGTCTCATTTGCATCTGGAGATTTAGGCAGACAGGTCAATGCTAGACTCACCTCTTTGTCCTCAACAGGATCTTCTAGCCCTAGATCCAGTGTTGGCTCATCAGTCCAAGAAACTTCTTCCAGTCTTCAGCCCCATTCACGTGCACTCCTTCCTCCAGACAGTCCCCAGTCAACCCGTCGTGGTGTAGAACCATCCAGCATGCGTGAACTTCCTCCTCTCAGCCCGTCCACAGCACGCAGAGGTGTCCTTGGGGCGCCAGTTCTCCCTGGAGCTCTGCCCGGCGTTCCTTTGACCTCTCGTGGCCGGACTGTACCAGAGGGTCCTCGTCTTCAACGACGAACCACGGCTGAGGAAGAAGTAGGAAGTACGAAATTGCATGCCAGAAGTCCATCTCCTGTATCTGCTCTTTTGAAGGACCAGCCTTGCGGTAAGCAGAAGGGGGGTCTCTCCCCAGCTCTAGGCTCTCAGACAGGTGTCTCTCCCCTCACTAGTCCCCGTAACCAGAGAAAGAACTCCAGGGAGCCTCGGCAGGTTCAGCCGCGCACACGCGAACGCAAGAACAGCATTTCAGAGGTCAGCGACAAAGAAGAAGACCTGCTGGAGTACCATCGCTGGCAAAGAGAGGAAAGGATGCGTGAGCAGGAAATGGAGAGGCTGGTATGTCTGAGCATGTGTATATTTACAGTATTTGTCAAAGGTTTGGACACACTTACTCATTAAGTACTAGTTTTACCATCAAACTATGAAATAACAAAATGGAGGTAAAATACCATTTAAAAGTGTGGGGTCAGGAATTTTATTAAAACGAAATTAATACATTGATTTAGCAAGAATGCATTTAATTGATCAAATGTGACAGTGAATTTATAATGTTACAAAAGATTTCTATTTCAAATAAATTATGTTCT